GTCCAACGAGTTTGCTATAGCTTTTTAAAGAAATAGAAAAATGGCACCAGGATTTCTAGYATTCCAAAAATACGTCACGAGGAAGGCTTATAATGACCTTGTAGGGACAGAAGTTTTATTTTTATTTTTACAAAACTATATAAAAACTGTGTACTGTTTAAATTCATTTCATCGTAATATGCAACTATGATGAATTTTAAATAGCTGCAGTTTAATAGATTTCCTAGTACGGTGAATCTGCCGTGAAACAATATGCAATGTAAAACATATTGGTGTCTGATGAGACAAACAAAAATAATTCGTCTGGCCGATACGTTTTTACAGACTAGGAGGGATGAAGCTTGAAAATATAAGTTATAATAAAAACATCATATTTTAAGGATTTTAAGAGAATATAAATCCGACCTCTACTTATAAAATACATACTATATAAGACTCGTTTTWTCGAATTCTGTCGCATCACTTAACTCAGTCGCCATCGCTGTTACAAAAAAGGTTTGATCAAGGATCTTTAGAACCGGACGGCGGCCACCGGCTTCCTCTGACCAGCGAATCATACATAAACGTCGTGGTAAACATAAAATCACGAGTTCACCTTTATATACGCGCAATGGTCGCTGCCATGACCACGGTGTATATTCAGTGACCGCGGTCTATATTGCATATGCTAAACTCAGGAGAAACTAACCGAAATATGTTCCATGTCGWTCCGAAAGTACAGGAAATTTCGTTCGTCATCGGATTTTGATCGATCCATTTAATGCTTCAATAAAACCGTCACCACTTCAGTAAAGTTCACTCAATATATAATATGGTATTTTGCTGGTGTGTAATATAAATTCAAGCTTATTTCATTGTTATAAAAAATTATATTTTATTTTAAAAAAGCGGGTAATTAAGTGGATATCGCTCTGCAGTACAGTATAGGTAACAAGTGGTTTACTGTAATGGATGGTATTAAATTTGAATTCAATGATGTAATATCATTGTATACAAAAAACGATTCTGAGTGAAAACGGTTT